AATGATGTAAATATCCACCACAAGAATTTAATATCTCCCAGGACTCTAATCGATGGACTTTCTACTCCCACCAATCTGTGTAAAGCACAGAAACCTGGACTACATTTGATCAATAATATTAAAAGTCAGATCACAGTGGGGAATGTAGAAACTAAACCCAGTGATAGTCCAAATAACCTATTGCTTGTGTCAACTACTATTGAGTCTGTTACAAGTTTTTCTGACCTAGATGATAGCTTGTCAGAGTCTGAGGTTCTTTGGGAAGATTGGGAAGAGGTTGCTATACTACCTTTGTCAGGTAATGAGTATCCCATAGATTATGAGGAACAAGAGCAAAACTGTAAAGAATCAAGTTTGCTTGAAGAGGAGAACACAGACTGTCCAATTCCTGGAGCACCACTAAAGAATAGAAAGAATGACAAATTGACTGGTCGATCAGAAACTAGGAAGAATCAGAAAGTCATATATAGGAGCCCTCAAACAATCATCTATGATGTTGCTGAAGTAATGAAGCAAGCTGAGGGTCAGTCCATCTTCAAAGTACCTGACATGAAGGTTTCCAAAGTTTGGTCCAATTCTTTCAGAGAAAGCACTGAATCTACACATTCTGTTTGGTCCCCTAAATCAAATAATTCTTTATGCATTGGCGTTAAAAGAAAGGGTTCGCATTCAAGTCCCTTCAAACATCATGCTTCTAAAAGACAATCATTTATTGTATATTCGGACAAAGAATTGTCATCTAATGGCTCTCTACCTTCCATTAATAAGCCAGTTTCTAAAGTTATTCCTCCAACAACCCATTCCCACAAGGTACTTCAAAAAATGAATAGTGACAAGATTACTCCTCCGCTATGTGGCTGTGGTCGGAGAACTAAGAGGCTTACTGTGTCTAAAGTGGGACCAAATCAAGGGAAAGCCTTCTATTCTTGCACAGTCAGGAAAAGGAATGCAGAGAATAGTAAGGGATGTGGGTACTTCAAGTGGGAGTGGTTATTGAAGAAGGAGAAAAGTTCATCAGCCTCCTCTATTAATACTTGTGGTACAGTTTCATCTGGAGCCTTTCCTTCTTCTCAACGCAAACATCTAGGCCTCTGATTTTCCTTCTGAAGCTCACAATATCATTGACGTGTCTAGAGTGTTTTATAGTTTCCATGATTTATAATGTACCGATTATCAGTGTGGCCTATCGGAAGGTTGAATTAGTGTGGTAACTGGTGTAATTGGGTTTCTGAATGCACTCAACTAAAATATCTTTTTTTTTTCCTCTGAGTACTTGCATCAAATGCAAATGACTTTAACTCCCCAGACTGAAGCTTCTGTAAACTTTTCTTTTGTGTGTGTGCTGGAAGTGTCCATTGGTAATGTCTATGTACATCTACTAGCCTAAAGTGTGAGAAGGCAACTAATTGAAGGATTATGGGGCAGGCATCACAGTTAGATCCAACATTGTCCTCCTTAATATATCCTTCATGCTTTGCTGCTTTTGTGCTTCACACATGGATGTTTTCTGTCTCTTTTCCTTCTATTCACTCCAGTAGCATTCCAATACCTTGGCTAATTATAGTCATGTGACTTGAGATGTTACTTCAAAGTTTAATAGTTGAGTACCATGTGTACTGCATTTATTTTAAGTCAAATAATGACAAACATTTCAAATTGTTATGATTGTGAAGTGGATGTTTTCTTTAATGAGTGGATATTATAACAGGGAACTGACTTTTGCTAATGTACAAATCCAATTCTGAGAGATTAAAGGGTGAAATTTTGTTCACCAAAACCCATTCATAGTCAAGTACATTATTAATATTAGGGCTGAAATTTGCAGAAAGTGTGGCATCAGTTGGATTTTCAACACCTTCATCACTGGCTAAGTAATTCTGACCTAGAAACCAAATCATGTTTACTGTTTTAAAGAGAATGCCATATTCTCTTTACTCTTTTCCCAAAAAAGTATCATTCCAGAGAATACCACTTCATTCTTGTCCCACACTCCATCAGTAATTTTATATGTTCTAATTTAGTTTTATTTTTATACTATTTTTAATATTCTTTAAAGAGTAACAATTCTACAAAATTAATTATGTTGACGTGCTTTCAGATGCTCAGGGATGTAAGATGTTACAAGTGTCAGCTTTTCTTAATATTAAAAAGCTATTCAGTTTAGTATGAGTACCTTTTTTGTGTAAATGACTACAGATCAGATGTGGAGATGCCGGTGTTGGACTGGGGTGGACAAGGGCAAAATAACACGGCACAAGGTTATAGTCCAACAGGTTTATTTGAAAACGCGAGCTTTCATAGCTCAACTCCTTCGTCAGACATAGTATAAGAGAGAGGATATGAGACACAGAATTTATAAGCAGAAAGGTAACAACCCTAAAATGGGTCGCCTCTTGTTGAATCTTTAATCAGTTACAAAGGAGACTACTGATTAAAATGCAAAATCCAGATTCCTCTCAAGTCATCGTCCCGAGATAATTAAAGGTTTTATCAATATCTACAAGAGTTGAGACAATGCATTTTAGGTATGATGTCTTGCTTAGACTCTGTCTATGTTTTAAACAGGGGTCAGGTTTTTTTTTGAGCAAAACAGAATGTATCTCCAAATATACAAAAATCTTGGATGAAATACTGTGTGTGTGTGAGAGAGAGGGGGGTGGGGTCACCTGTAGTGTGACATGAACCCAAGATCAGGACTGAGGCCATCCTCATGGGTATAGAACTTGGCTGAGCAGAGGCTGATGGCCAAGTTCCATACTGATGGGAATGGCCTCAATCGTGATCTTGTGTTCATGTTGCACTACAGGTGACCTCACCATGCTATATACTCCCACATACACACGCTTGTGCACTTACTCAGACCCTCTCACTCTCTCAAGCACACACACATACACACACTTTCTCTCTTTTTCTTTCTCTTTCACTCGCTCTCTCTCTCCTTTTCTCTTTCTCTCTCTCTCTCCTTTTCTCTTTTTCTCTTTTTCTCTCTTTCTTTCTCTCTCTCTCTCTCTTTCTCTCTCATACACACAAATATATACATAGGCAGACACAGACACACACATGAATTATTTCATCCAAAATGTTTGTGTAGTTGGAGACATATTCTGTTTTGCTCAAAAAAAACCTGACCCCAGTTTAAAACACAGATTCTAAGCAAGACCTCACACCTAAAATGCATTGTCTGACCTGAGATGTCATCTCTTGTATACATTGATAAAAATTTTTAATTATCTTGGGCCAATGACTTAAGAGGAATCAGTAGTCTCCTTCATAACTGATTAAAGATTCACAAGAGGCGGCCAGTTTTAGGGTTGTTACCTTTCTGCTTATAAGCTCTGTCTCTCTCTTTCTCTCTCACACTACGCCTGAGGAAGGAGCTGAACTCCGAAAGCTTGCGTTTTCAAATAAACCCGTTGGAACATAACCTGGTGTTGTATGATTTTTGACCTTGACTACAGATCAGCTCTGCAACTGGAGCAGCGTTGGAGCTCTCCTCATCTGTGGAAACACCAGCCTTGAAGTCTAGCAAGTCCAGTTCTCCCTGTAATTTTATTTAAAAATATTTCCAAATCATGGAAAAGTTATTTTGGAAGTCAGGCCAGCAGCAATCAAGCCAGGTAGTGGTTCTTACAAGAACTGTTATAATCCCTTTAAAAAGGAGACAATTTTCTTCCATGTATACAAAAAAAAATCCTCATGGTAAAGACCAAATGCAGAAATAGAGACTGAAGTTGTCCATCATTAAAATCTTTAAGAATCGGTGATGCAGCGAATGAGCAAGCTGTTTTGTGGAACTGATGCTGTAATGTTAAATTCTAAGAATTTGCCTGTATTATGATTGAAAATCCACTAAAGTCATTTTCTCCCCTAAGTGGTCTAGTTGAATGCCTCTATTTTTTTTTAAATTGACTTACTGGAGTTATTTCCATTGCCTTGTATCTATCTGCAGGGAAGTGAGCCTTAGTAGAGTAACAATGAAATTATCTTCTAATTTAATCACCTATACTACTCTAATTTCTCCTAATCTCTGTCATAGTCATAACAGAACAGCATGTTTAGGATAGCTGGTCATGGTCTGTAGGTCTTCAATGTTTGAACTAGATTGTATCCAGGACACATGGTCTAGTCCACTTGACTGCTCATCAATGTCCTCTGAAGTAAACCAAATTGGCTGGACACTTCCGTCTTTGTTAGAAATCTGGAGACCGAGTGGTTTGAAGCTGGCGATCTCCTTCCGATAGGGTGCCTGGTTCATCACTGTTCGTTTTCACTAATTGTTTGCTCTTTATCACCAAACATTGAAATGGTGTAGCAAATTGCACGCAAAGGGGGATTAAGAATCAACCACAGATCATGGGCTTGACTGGGTAGATGTGATGGACTTCCTACACCGAGGCACACTAGAGAACCATTTGAGATTTTATGCTATCTAATATTAGCCCACAACAATTACCAAATTTCTTCAATTTTGGAATATGCTAGAGTGGAATTTGAGTTACTCGCCCAGTACAAAAAGAGCTATGCTCCCTTTCCTTTTCAAATATATCTTGTAGACTATATTCTGAAGGCTAATTTCTCGTGTAAGATAAAATTGCATCATTTAGGTGCAATGCCTTTTTACAATTGGAATTAAACTCTCTATTCCTTGGTTATAGATCACATCACCAATAATTGATCATTATAAATTTATAAAGTCACAGAGAGTATTATAAGGTATTCTGCTTTTTTCTCAATTCAGACATCAATGTTGGGTCAAATTTCACTTGAAAACGTGTGGTCATATTTTGCCCTTTACATTTGAATTTAACATGGTTCTTCCCCAGTTAGTTACAATGTGAACAGTTTCATGTAAAATTTAGGCACTTGAAACATGGGCTATTGTTCAATGTATGAAATTTCTGATTGTAATAATTATACACTTGCACCTGGGATAGAAAGATGTGTTGCTGTTTGACTTTTTTTAAATGACCAAGAGCAGATAAAAGGACATATATTGCAAATTCACAATAAATTCCTCCTTTTATTATCTTGAACAAAATCCATTTTATGTTATGCCTTATATCAATCAGTAACCATGTAACTCGTATTGTTTTAAGATCATTAATCAAATTAAAATTGTTGCCTTTTATTGATTCTATTCTATGACGTTGTACAAGAATGGTTTAGGTCCTAGCTTTGTCCCCATTCTTTCTTTCGTAGCTCATTTCTTTTCACTTTCCCACTAATAGTCTTGGGCAGTTCCTTCACAAATTCAATCTGTGGAGAAAACAAAAGTAGTTCCTGTTATTGCACGTTCAGAGCACTTCTATCTCTTTGCCAGAATTTTAGTTCTTTAAGTTCTTGGCAAACACTTAAAAGACTATTCTGAAAGTGAAATTTTAAATAAAGAAAGGTCCAGTGAATTTTTCTACACTGATGGATTTATGGCTATCTGCATGAAAATTCATGTGGTAGTTTATAGCTGCAGACAAATCTATGTTTGAATTAAATGTTCAAAGGGAGTCATGCAAACAGAACCATTTGGAAAATGAAGATACATGCAAACAAGAAAAACAGCTAACACAGATCCTCAAAGTGCTTGTAGTTTACAAGTATCATGGCATGGATCACACTTGGTAAAATCATCTGTCTCTTGTTAGGAAACTGTGGCTTAAAAACTGGTATTGAATAACATCTCAAAATGGTGACAAATATTTCTTAACTGATCTATAATAAAAATACACAATACATTGACTTGCTCTTGTTCACCACCCAGTGAGGTGACTGAATTTGCAAGCTGTTATTAATAGCTGTGATTCCATTTTAGGAAACCAATCAGGTAAAATGCTGACCTTCCTTGGATATTTATATGGTGCTGTGACTTTCTTGACATGATCTTGTAATTCTTGGATTAACTTGTCAGGATCAGCCAAGGTATACGCAGCATTTTGAACAATAAATGCCTTCACAACCTTAAAAGAAGAAAAATCATTTAAACAGGAAAAATAAAAATTTTTAAAACATGACCATCCCACTGAGAGCTGTTATGCTGCTGTGTGTTGTGCAAATAAAACAGTTGACTTTGCCAGCAAAATGTGCATTTTTAAAATCCAGATTTTAAATTGCTGTACTTTTAAAGGAGATGTAAATGTGAGGCTAGTACAGTTTCAGATCTTAATCTTACTGTTTCTGATTTCTAACAGCAGTGGTTCTTTTGGTTTTTAAATCTTGATACTTCACCAAATGTGTAATAATGTAAATACAGCTTTGAGCCTACTGCCTACAAAGTCCTCTCCTCGTTGAAAATTTTGGGCAAAATTTTAAATGTGATTTTATTAGGACATAATTCCCACTGATGATATCTGCAGATTAGTCTTAAATTCTCATCCAGTGGCAGATTTTCCTTTTAATACATTGCTTGTTGTTAAGCTTACCTCTCCTCTAATAGGATCAGGACTGCTAACCACAGCACAATCTGCCACAGCTCGATGTGTTGTCAGTGCATTTTCGACTTCAAATGGTCCAATACGATACCTGTAACATTTTAATATAAGGAGTTGCATTATTTGGATCATTAACTTCACTAAATGCATGACATTTATTCACGATTCACTTTTTTTTAAATGACCAAGAGCAGTATATTTTTAAGATTTTCTTGGATATATTTTCCCCCTCCACTGTGACCTACACCCAGTTTTTCTGCTACTGTGACTCCTGAGCCTGTTGCTGGTTGGAATGCAAGAATGGCCTGAGTGAATGATCTCCTCCAGGAACTAAATCTTAGGAAATACCATATCACATTGTGCACTGAAGCACAGCTAATAAAACATCTTCAGATTTAGCCTCTCTGCTCCTATGATGCTGCTTGGCCTGCTGTGTTCATCCAGCCCTGCACCTTGTTGTTTCAGATTTAATTCTTATTTTAGTGCCAGATAGGATTTGGTGACGATGGAATGGACCTCCAATAATCAGGGTATTAAGTCATGTGTTTTTTTATTTTATGATATTTCATTTGCTTTACTATAAGGCAAAATAAACATTTCTCCTCCAGTGAGAAAATCACATCTATTTTCCAGTTAAAAACAGTTTCAACTTTGGTTCTTCTTATACATACCTACATTGTAACAAAAGTCACTCTTTAACAACATGTTTTTGATCTATTCAGCTGTGTAAGCTATTGCACTTTTGTTTTTCTCCCATCCCTCATCACAAGTACATATAATAAAAATATTAATTACGGATTTAAAAGCTCTTTAAGGGTTGTACTCTGTATTGTCATTGTTCTATTTACAAATTGTCCAGCTATGTTAACTGATTATCTCAAATACAGCAGCTTATTACCTACAGAAATACTAAGAACTTCAGTCATTGTAATTAATCTTTACTTGAATTTGACAGTTTTATTTTTAAGTCATGTTTTAGAGTCACAGATGTACAACATGGAAACAGACTCTTTGGTCCAGCTCGTCCATGTCGACCAGATATCCTAGATAAATCTGATCGCATTTGCCAGCATTTGGCCCATATCCCTCTAAACCCTTCCAATTCATATACCCATCCAGATGCCTTTTAAATGTTGTAATTGTACCAGCCTCCACCGCTTCCTCTGGCAGCTCATTCCATACATGCAACACCCTCTGTGTGAAAACGTTTCTCCTTGTGTCCCTTTTAAATCTATCCCCTATCACCTTAAACCTATGCCCTCTAGTTTTGGACTCTCCCACCCTAGGGAAAAGGCCCTGGCTATTCACCCTATCCAAGCCCCTCCGATGCTGCAGGGAAAATAGCCCGTCTTTTCAGCCCCTCCCTATAATTCAAACCCTCCAGCCCTGGCAACATCCTTCTAAATCTTTTCTGAACCATTTCAAGTTTCACAACACAATCCCATAGCAGGAAGACCAGTTTTAAAATTATAATTAATATTTAGCAAATTAATCCCCAAATATTCTCTTTGAGAGATGAAGTATAGCAGACCAGCAATGCTAAGTCTCTCAAGTGTGTAACAGTAAAACATTGAATAAATAAAATGTGGATAATTAGATCACAATACCCAGCTGATAAAATTATATCATCTGATCTTCCATGAAACCAGATGTATCCATCCTCATCCATTCGCCCACGGTCTCCAGTCAGATAATAGTCTTCTTGTAGAACTGCAGCATTTCGTTGTGGATCGTTCTAGCAGCACATAAAGAAATCAGCTCAAAGTTCAAAAGTATCATTGAAACTAGGAGCAGGAATAGGCCATTGGCCTGTCAAGTCATTAATATGATCATGTCTGATCCTCTAACTCAATGCCACATTCCTGCTTTCTTCCTCGATGTCTTGATGCCTTTAAAATCTAAAAAGAAAACTATCTTTTTAATGAATATGGAAATGACTTGGCCTTCACAGCCTTCTGTGATTTAAAAAAAAAAAATTCCACAGTTTCACCACCCTTTGAGTGAAGAACTTTTTTCTGACCTCAGTCCTTAATGGTCTACTCTGTAACCTGAGACTATGTGCCCTGATTCTAGACTCCCCAACAAGGGAAAATATATGCTCTGCATCCAGTCCATTTGGTTCTGTTAAAACTTTATATGTTCAATCTGATCCCTTGACATCCATTTAAGCTCTTGTGAATAGAAGATGGGTTGAAGAAATCTTGCTTTGTATGACAGTCCTGGCATCCCTGGTATCAAGCTAATGCATCTCTATAGCACTCCTTCTCGGGCAAGTACATTCTTTTTTTGGTAGGGAGACTTAAATTGCACATAATACTCCAGGTGTGGTCTCACCAAGACCCTGTATAACAGCAGTAAGACACCTCTACTTCTGACCCAAATCCTCTTGCAACGAAGGCAAGGCATTTGTAATTGCTTGCCTGCCTGTTGTCTTTCATTGACTGATATGCAAGGATACCCAGGTCCCCTTGTATATCTATACTTCCCAAATAGCTCACCATTTAAATAATACTGTTTCTGTTTTTCACATCAATGTATGTAATTTGACATTTAGCCATATTGTACTGCATCTGCCATATGTTTGACCACTCACTCAACTTAACTAAACTACCTTGAAGCCTCCTCAAAATTCACAACCCTGGCCAGCTTTGTGTTGTCAGCAAACTTGGAAATGTTGCATTTGATTCCCTCATCCAGATCATTCATATATATTGTGAATAACGTGGGGCTGATCACTGTTTGTTGTGATATTCCACTATTCACTGTCTGCCACTTAGAAAAAGACTCATTTATTCCCACACTCCGTTTTCTGTCTGTCCACCAATTCTTGATCCATGCCAATCTATTGCTCCCTACCCTATGTGCTTTAACTTTGCTCTATGAAGGACCTAGTCAAAAACCTGAAAATCCAAATATACTGCATCCACTGGTTCTCCCTTCTATTCTGCTAGTTACTTCCTTAAAAAAAACTTCAGTAGATTTGTCTAGCATGATTTACTTTTCATAAACATAAGTAATTAAATTATTTTGTAAATATAGGCTTTGTAGTTTTAAAATTGCATCCCATTTTAATGAGCCTTTTTCTATATCCAATTGTTATAGCTTTAGGGAAAACTGCCAGGGTGCTAATCATACTAGAAAACATTTTGAAACACAAAGCACTTGTCAAGGTCAGGCCTATACAAAGCTTAATGACCTTAAATCCAATCTTTACCACTTTGTTCATAATGCTTTTTTATTGTTTCTGCCCAGAACTATGCATAAGGAATAACTGGACAAATCCTCATCTTCCAGTGCTGTCTAGACATTTGTGTGGAACATACTCTCCATTCATTCAAATGATGGAGACAACACAAGTTCACCTTTGCCCAAAGAATTAGGCACAGACGTAGTCTGGACATATATTAGATTTTAAAACTGTTAAAAATCCATTGGATAGTTAGAAGAAATTTCTTGCAGGACGCAATAGGGTAGGATTATTGTTTGTACTTCGGTGAAGAACGTTTTAACATTAATACAAGTGTACCATCAGATGTGGTTTGCATTCCAGCAGCCTTAAAAATTGAATTAATTCAAGCTGTTAAGCTGTCTCTAATTGCACCATCCCAAGTCGCAGCCTAGATGCTCCTGCAGATCATCTGGACAGAACTGATAAGAAGATATCATTTTGAACTGAAAAAAAAAAATTGTTTTGGTACGGAGAATGAGTTTACAGGAATGAGGGTGAGTGTTTGAATGACTGTAGATTATATTTTATTCTCAACGGTATGGAGCCATGGAGCTGAATTTTACCAGAAATCAGCTAGGTATCAATTTTGGAGCATTTAATGGAGGGTTTTTCTCCGTGAAGTCTGGTAGGTTTTCTTAAGCTGTCCTCCCAAACTCACTACATTGACTACGCACTATATTACTATGGTACCCCACTCGTATTCTCCCACATGTCACAGGCTGAAGTACAGGCTACTGTTGGAACATCCTGTGATTCCTGGTACCGATGTCATCATTAGAGCCCAACCATGCACCTGGGTTAAGCATTGATAGGTGCCGTACATGGTTGGTTATTGGTGTACTCACTGGGACCAGAGCTCATGACACCATCGTGCAACCTCTGATGTGGAGCACAGATTTAATGCCACCTGTGCCTTAACCAGGAATGGGATAGGGCAGAGTAATGGGCTGTTGATGATGTGGTTCTGTTGCTTGGACCTGCCTTTGGGGGGTGTCCCTCTAGTATAGTGCAGACAAAATGTGCCATATCGTCCTGGTGCGCTGGGCTTCGCATAATTGCAGTGATAGATGCTGAAGACCAAGGGGGACGGGGGCTGTCTTCCGAGGAGGTGGAAGCTGTCATTGGCCAGAACACAGTTCAGCTGCATTGGGTGCAACTACCAGGACAGAACCTCACTGACACGGACAGGTAAGAGCTGGGTGCAGCAGATAATCAAGGATTGTTGAATGCTTAATGGTCATGATGTCAAAATCTGGTCTGTATTGCTGAGGCAAGTTTCAGCCTCTTTTGCTTTTGTTTGTGTTCCTTTTTGCTTTCTATACTAAAAGCTCAAATTTGTACCTGTCCAATTCCTTGTGAATATATGATGTTCCACTGCTAAAAAATGACAATCTGTGGGTCTACAGTGGGCATTGAAGACAGGGTAGTGCTGATTTAGACAGGATGTGGCTAAAGATAGGTAAAGTGTGTGGCCTAGTGGTTAAATTGCGACCAGGGTGAGAAAATGGAAGTGCATGTGCACAGGAATGTTGGCCTTGGAGCTGCTTTTCCATGAAAGGCAGTACCAGACTGCCAGACCTTGTCCAGGCGCACAGTGGCCTTTCAAAAATGGCATGAACACGAGGGATGGTTGCCTTTCGATGGATATCTGCTGAGTGGTGAGTTGCTCTGGGAAGGGCATGTGGAAATTTGGGGCCAGAAACATCTGTAAGAGATACCATGGGAATGGGATAGGTAGTTGGCAAGATATGGTGGTAAAACTCTATAGGCCTCACAGTAAAAAGCTCCAAGGAACTCAACACAACTCAGAAGTAAATAGTCAATAAAACATAAGCGTTGGCCTTATGGGGCTATTTTGTTTCCCTTGGGCACTGTGATTTATGCGTGAAAAATGGTTTTAATTTTCCCATACAAGTGTTCAAACGTGTGGTAAACTCTTAGCTTGGATCCAAGCAATCGTTTGTACTGTCCTTTTTGAAAAACAGATCAAAACAGCTTTTGAGTAATCACAGAAAGGCATGTCTATAAATGGCATCTGATTTCACATGGCCCTGCTGTTCATACAGCCAGTAGAGATTCCCTGTAACACAGATACCTGAGATATCCATGTCACATTTTGAAAGACTTCTGCAGCATCAATTAATTAGCCTGAATAAGTAGTAAAAACAAAAGAGAGAGGGACATCTTTGGATTTTTGCTTATAATCCTGATTCACAATCGTGTAAGGAAACCTATTCAATCCTAGAATGAACATTATCGGGGCAGATACTTTTGTTAATGCCTCTTACGTAACTATAGTCAGGGTAGCTCTGCAGAAGCATGGCAAAAGATCCAGTTAGAGCTCTTGTAGTTGGAAGAACTTTTCACTTTAAAATCGCCTTCTTTGATGTTAAAAATGCTTTTATCAAATCATTTTCTTAATTCAAGAAAAAATTAAATAGTAAGTTACTTGAGTAATTTTGCATTTTTTCATATTTCACTTATGCTGTACTTTGTTTCTTCCAAGTCAGTTGCCAAAAAGAGTTTGAGCTCCTGGTTTAGTTCAGCCATCTGTTTTAAAGCCCTTTTGGGCACCCTGATGGCAATTGTTCTCAATGTGCTCTTTGGACCAGATCTGGGATAGCAGTGGTCCAAAGGAACCTAAAAATAAATTAAAGGGAAGTTCATGGTAGATTTGATTTCTTTTTTTAAAAAAATAAGCTAGCTAAGAAAATAATGAGGTAAATGGGAAAACCATCACCTGCAAGTTCCCCTCCAAGCCAATCACCACCCTAACTTGGAAATATATCTCCATTCCTTCACTGTCACTGGGTCAAAATCCTGGAATTCCCTCCTTAAGGGTATTGTGGGTTAACCTACAGCACATGGACTGCAGTGGTTCAAGAAGGAAGCTCACCACCACCTTCTCAAAGGCAACTGGGGACAAGCAGTAAATGCTGGCCCAGCCTGTGACACCCATGTCCCACAAGTGAATACAAAACAATAGCTGATAAATGATTTCCCTGGAGTTTTAAAAGATACTTCTGGTAAAAGTGTACCTGCGGGTGGAAGGAGGACATACCTCCTCTTCTAAGGATCGCTTGACAATGTCAACTAGCATGCGCTGAAGTAAGGAAATCGGAGTTGTCCACAGCTTCATGGAAATGGGCCAAGAGAACAGATAAGAGAAGGGGTTAAGATGGAAGTGATTGGGAAGAAATATCGAATAAAATCTGTACATACAGAGCTAGTATGGTTGAGGCTGGTGGTGAGTTTGGTGGTGGTAGGGAATATGTCTTGGGGAGGCTTGGCAAGGGAAAAGGGAGATGTGGCAAAGAGATTTGAATGAACCAACCCAGTTAATGTATGTGATTGGGAAGTAACTTTGCAACAGGTACTCTTGTTAAAAGTATTGTTGATAGTAGATTATTCTACCTCCCTAATCTGATGAGTGCATTTACTTAGATTGTCAACCTGCATATATTCTGAAGAGTTTATCGAAATGGCAAATGCTCAAGACCTGAAACAGATCTCTGGAGCATTGCTCTGCCTTAAGTTGAGCATCCTGGTCATTGCTTCATTTCTTATAGTTATTTGATAAGTATGTGTCAGTTCTGTGCTTAATCAATATTGACCTACCCCTGTTAAATTTTCCAGCCCACTACAAGGAAGAACTAAGTCAAGAGATTGAGAGCTGGTCCATGTTTTTAAGCATATTTTGTCTGGTGCCAAAGGTCACCTCAAAGTCAAACATGGATTAAATGTACACCACGTGGTCAGAGACATAGAACATAGAACATAGAACAGTACAGCACAGTACAGGCCCTTCGGCCCACGATGTTGTGCCGAACTTTTACCCTAATCCTAAGGTCTATCTAACCTCCACCCCTACCTTATACTATCATCCATATGCCTATCTAATAGCCGCTTAAATGCCCCTAATGAGGCCAACTCCACTACCCTCTCCGGCAATGCATTCCATGCCCCTACCACTCTGAGTAAAGAACCTACCTCTGACGTCTCCCCTGTATCTACCTCCACTCACTTTAAAACTATGCCCCCTCGTAATAGCTACCTCCACCCTAGGAAAAAGTCTCTGGCTGTCTACTCTATCTATACCTCTGATCATCTTGTACACCTCTATTAAGTCAACTCTCATCCTTCGTCGTTTTAAAGAGAAAAGCCCTTGCTCTCTCAACCTTTCCTCATAAGACCTTCCCTCCATTCCAGGCAACATCCTGGTAAATCTCCTCTGCACCTTTTCCAACACCTCCACATCTTTCCTGTAATGAGGCGACCAGAACTGGACACAATACTCCAGATGTGGCCGAACCAGGGTTTTGTATAGCTGGAGCATAACTTCACGGCTCTTGAACTCGATCCCTCTATTAATGAAAGCTAACACACCATACGCCTTCTTAACAACTCTATCCACCTGGGTGGCAGCTTTCAGGGAACTGTGAACATGAACCCCAAGATCCCTCTGCTCCTCCAAACTGCCAAGAATCTTTCCGTTAACCCTGTATTCTGCTTTCAAGTGTGTCCTTCCAAAATGAATCACCTCACACTTTTCAGGGTTAAACTCTATCTGCCACTTCTCAGCCCAGCTCTGCATCCTATCAATGTCCCTTTGTAACCTAGAACAGCCCTCTGCACTGGCCACAACGTGACCCACCTTCATATCGTCCGCGAATTTGCTAATCCACCCTTCCACTCCTTCATCCAAATCATTTACAAAAATCACAAATAGATGAGGACCAAGGACAGATCCTTGTGGTACACCACTCGTAACTGAGCACCATGCTGAATATTTTCTGTCCACTACCACCCTTTGTCTTCTAAGGGTCAGCCAATTCTGAATCCAATCTGCCACATTTCCCCCTAGCCCATGCCTCCTTACCTTCTGCATGAGCCTACCATGGCGAACCTTATCAAACGCCTTACTTAAATCCATGTATACCACATCCACTGCTCTACCTTCATCCATGTGTTTAGTCACCTCTACAAAGAATTCATTAAGGTTTGAGGGGCATGATCTACACAAATCCTCACAAATCCATGCTGACTATCACGAATCAAACTGTGCCTTTCCAAGTGATCATAAATCCTATCTCTCAGAGCCCTTTCCAATAATTTGCCCATCACTGATGTAAGACTAACTGGCCTGTAATTTCTGGG